GACACACAGCATTTGTCTTTAAGAAAAGCATCATGATTATCCTTACAAACACAGAAATTAGTGGATGTAGTTAACCATTCATAGCAAGCAAACTGTAAATATTTGACTGTGAGGTGAATTTTCTGGGTCAGACGTGTTCATGTAAGGATGAAATGTGTAAACAAACGTTAGAGTGGACCAGAGAATGAGCTTCCCATTCATTCAGCGCCCATATTACACCACAGTGTTAAGGATGCTCATCAGAATAGTTTGCTATCAGTTCAGTGTATTCGTTTATATTTAATACTAATTTACGGCAAGAGTCATCTCAAGGTGCTTTTTTTACTATTGATGAGAATAAAAAATTGCATAGAAATAGTGCAAAACTATTCCTACATGTATATTATATTATATTAATTAGATGTAAACTAAACATGAAGGCGTGGCATGAAATGTACCTCCTGGTCAGAGATATTGCCGTTGATTCCTTCCGAGTCGGTGCCGTCCCAGGTGGCGATGTAGTTGTCAGTTAGAGCATCCCACACACTGCAAAACAACACAGACCCATGTCAAAATGCAAACCTACTCAAGCAAATATCAAAAAGAAGTATAAAGACACAATTTTTGCCCTCAACAGATTTGTTTTTCTGATTGTAAAAAGCCGTGTACTCAGCCCTAATGTTCAGCAGCCTGCAACTCAGTCAATATTTCATTGTGGTGGAGTTCAGGGCTGCAGGGGAGCAGTGCACAATAGAAAAGAAGTGCAGCTTACTACTTGTTAAATGGTATCCTCAGCAGAGATTTAGATAAAGTTCCTCACATCATTGTACAAAGTGTTCTCCAACTCTCCCAGCGTCTGTCCGAGGCAGAGTGAAGTAAAAACTGGGAGAGAAGTGTCCTTTGTGTCTGAGCTTGTGTGTGTGTGTGTGTGTGTGTCACTCAGAAGTTGGCTGAGGCCTGTTTCCCTGCTCCCAGTGGCACTGCCTCTGCCTGCTTACACAGTGGACTCCATTGAGCTGGCAGCTTACCTCACCAGTCATGCCTGTGTGTCATGGCTGCACACACCAGGCCAAAGACTAGTTCTAGTTTTCCTAAAAGTTAACAAAGCCCGATGGCACCTCTCTGGGTTTTCAGAGGTATATTTGTTGCCAATGCGATTCTAATCTGCAGGATCATTAACAGCTCTGGTCGCAGAGTTTGCCTTTCTATATTAATGTGGCAGCACGCTACAAAGTGATTTCAAGTGCATTGGTATTGCTTTAAAACTAAAGAGCTTAAATCAGAATACAGGGGAAAAAACTGCTTAGAAGTGTCAACAACACACCACAATCACACTGTAGACACAGTGCACAGCTGCACTGAGTGTACTGTAAGTGTTTAGGCAACATGCTGTAACTTGCACTGTACTGTATTTTCTAACTGTTGGATATCTATTCTGTTATACAGTATTAAGGACCTTCTGACCAACAAAATATACTGTGCACCCCTTCAGCATACCAGATTTTAACTAACTAACTAATATAACTAATATCCTCGATGCATGAAGGAGCATTTCCGCAGGTCCTTCCTCCCTGCAGCTGTCAGACTGTACAATCAACACTGCTCCCAACAATCATAGATGTTTACATCTGCGCTGTAACTGCAATAATTTAATCAACCGATTCGCACTACAACCTGGGTTTGCCTCTTATCTGTTGTTAATTTTATTTAATTTAATAACTGTACAGTACTCTGTATATAGTAACTATTGTCCTTAATGTAAACGTGTAAGAAAAAATGTGTATGTTTCTGTTCTGTGTCCTGTGTACTGTTTGTTGTATATGTGTCTTTCTGGCTGCTGTTACAACCAAATTTCCCCTTGTGGGACAATTAAAGGATTATTCTATTCTATTCTATTCTGTTCTATTCTATTCTAATATATTGTTACAGGATACAGTATCTTATTCTATATAAGATTTTTATCTAATCTTTCCTTTCTTTAACAGCCTTGAGCTAGTCGCACATGCTTTCAAATCCAGATGGGATTACTGCATTTAGTACTGCACTAATATCACAGATGAGTATGTGCCAAGGGCAGTGCTAGTAAGCACATTTTTTACTATTTCAGCCTGGTTACACACTGAGTCTAGCTAGCTGGCTGGTGGCTGTAGCTTATATAACACTTCAAGTGGTACCAGTCTTCTTATGTGATACTTTTTCCTATAAATAAAACTGAAGAATTTAAATGCAGTAAAGCCGACGTAACCAGTCACAACCACATCAGAAACCAGAGCAGCGCATGAAGAGCACGTTCTGTGTTTATAACACATGGTTGGTCATCTGGCCTACAGGGAGTGGAAGTCCATGTTCCAACGCTGTCCTGCTGTGTTTCCTGGCCTGCAGCCACACAACAGGAATCATTCTGTTTAAATTTCTAGCTCTCCATCAGCTTGACAGATTCACTCAAAGCTGAGTTTCAGATCAGGTGACTGCAGGGATTACTCCAAAATGTGCCACATAGGGTTTTCAACCAAGCTGCAGATTTAGACTGGTGATTAGTTTTGTTGGTGTGTTCTCCTGTTTGCTCCTGTGTGACATAACAAAACGCAAACCTTCCAGTTTCATTAACACCAGTACCACCTCTTCATGGGACAAACTCTCCTGAGGAACATGGAACAGTCACGTATGTCTGATTGAAATTTATTTCTTATGGTTTCCTTATTTATGACACTAGTGTATCAATCCACCCACTGCCTTGCAATCTGCTCTGTACTCACTCAGAGCTTTATTGACCAATAAAGGCTCACTTTTCTCACCAGAAATTAATCATTGCTCAAAGTCATATAATCCTTTCCAAAAAACTCTGCTGTCACACCTACAGTCAAGCTATATTTAGCATGATTCAGAGAACGCCTCAGAAGCTGCTAGCAAGAGGAGGCTCTGGCAGTCAGGGGAGAGGCAGAGACAGAGCCAAAGCCAACTGAGGCGTACGACGCTGCACGCTGAATAATTCAACATGCAGCCTGACATGGTGGAGGTGGGGAGGGTGGGGTCACAGTGCTGATTGACTGCATGTTTGGGGATGTTGTGGTCTGTGTGTTGAAATGTTTTGGCTTTTGTTCCAGGCTGCCAAGTCGTTTCAGCCTCCAGTGTGTGTGTTGTAAATGGAAGCATAATGAGCATATTGCTAACTGATTAACATGAAAGGCTGTTCTTTTTTATGTCTGTTGATATTCTACCTCCTGTGTTTCTTTAGGGGACTAGGCATGTTTCTAAAAATGTTCTTTTATATACTTTCTATGTCAACATAACTGTAGCAGAGATCCTGCAGGTTCACCAAAGGACAGAAAATTTAAAGACAGAATATAGATTAATAACTTTTTCACTCAAACATTATTTTTTTTTACGATAATTCCAAATAATACAAACCCTTGTAGACTGTATCTGCAGTAACAGAAACTGACTTTAATTTTTTTCTGTTTTTAAAGGGATTTAGCTGGGTTTAGAATTGGTGCCTCAAGTTAAGCTCAAATTGTTCTGAGTTTGTTATAGTTTACACACTGAACAGTGTCACATAATTTATTTCCACAGCTGTTTGGAAATACACAGTAACAGATTACTAAAGACTGAAAGATTCCAATAAGTAAACCTTGCTTCAGATATTGTGTCACTTACTCTTCATCTTGCAGTCGCTCCTCGTCCTCCTGATTGTGTGACTGGTTGCGTATGGGCGCCAGGCCCTCCGTCTTGGTGTTGTAATTGTGGAAGCACACATTGAGCTTCTCGTCAAACTCATTTACCAGGTCCTCCATTGACTTGAAGCTCATCATCTCAGAGAAGTTTTCCAGTTCAGAGAACTCCTCACGGGTGATGGAGGCCAGGGGGACGGTGGTGGTGGTGGAGTAGGAGTCATTGATGAGGCTTTGGTCCATCTCATCCATCCTACAGGGCCGGAGGTCCTCAAACTCCTCATCTAAGCACACAAGAGGGGCTTCCATAGTGTCCCCTATCAAGTTAATGTCTGAGTCCTGCAGGAAACAGAGTCATGCAGCATTTAATGAACTGATTTTGCTGAATTTTGAAGGGCTTTTAAATTCAAGACATTTTAAGTTTGAGCATATGTTGCTTAATAAGCCAAGGCCACAAATGTGTTTAAAGAAAAGACCTGGTCAGTCACAGCACAAAGGGTTTTTGTGATTTCCATCTGTCCCCATCTGCTTTATTAACCAGTGTCCCAGAAGGATTTATCTGGTCTAGCATAAATCATGCCTCTCTGTTCTCATGTGGAATGGCACCAGCACGTCTAGACAAAGAGGAGATAAAGGTAGGTGTGCCAGAAGGGGACCAGGTCCCAGGGGGGACCGAACCAGTTTGCTTTACTGGTAAACCAGTTAATTAGGTACACCAACAATGATTTAACTGATGAGCGCTTCAATATTCTGGGACATGAAATTATAGAACCATTTGTCAAAGTACATTGTATATTATAATCGTGCTATTTTTGTGTTGGTCAAAGCTTTGCTTTATATACACTGAAAAAATACTTAAAGAATTTTGGCTTACATGAACATTTTCCATGCAGTTTTATTACATAATTGAACTGTAAAATTTTTAATGGAATCTGGCCAAATCATTGGTGTCTATTCAGTTTATACCAAGCACATTTTCCTTAATGATTAATTATTTGAATTAAAAAAAACAAACCCAAACGTTTGATTCCATACATTTCAGCTGATTATTATTTTTTTAATGGTTGTTTAAGAGCAATTTTAACCCACACCACAACCTTTCCTGGACATAACCATGCTTTTTATTACCTAAACCTAACCAGTCAGGTTGAGATAGCATACATAAACACTAGGGGTGCAACAATACTCGTATCGATATTGAACCGTTCGATACAGTGCTTTCGGTTCGGTACGCATATTTATCGAACAATACAAAATGTTTTATTTATTTGATCAACTTTTCTTCTGATGATGCTGTCTGTGTTGAGCGCTCAGTGGATCTGCGTTCGACTACTCCGCCTAGGCTGCACTGTGGAGTGCAGATCCACTGAGTGCAGCGCAAGCTAGCAAGACAGAAGCTAAGCTCGTTGCAACATGGCAACTGCCTCAACGCTACCCGAAATTGAACCCACCCTCATTCAGATCTGGCCTTTGGAACTATTTTGGTTTTTATGTGAAGCATGACCCTGAAGGTAAGCGCGTCATGGACAAAAGTAAAACAGTATGTCGGATGTGCCACGCAATGCTCAATTGGTGGGAACTAGTGCGTTAGCGCAGTTAGCTTGTTAACATGTTGACACGATCCGTGTTAACTCGTTAACGGAGATTTGCCGCGTTATGACGTTAATGTCATTTTAACGAGATTAACGCTGACAGCACTAGTGGGAACACAACGAATATGACTGCACATTTACGCCGACATCATCCTAGTGCAAAGACAAGTGGAAGCAGACAAAAACAACAAGCACGCATGCTACAAACTTTACCCGAGTCATTTAGACAGCCGTTAGCACATGATTCTCCTTATGGGGACCTGATATGTTTAATATGCTGCTGAGAATATAGCCCAGAAGAAGCGTATAGTATAGCTTTTATTTTGGAACGAGCCATTTCTCTGTAATAAACTCTCTTTTCCAAAGATGAGGGATTTCTCCATCAGATAGATTTATTTATTTTTTTATTCTTTTGTTGTTTCAGCAACATTAAATTTAAAAACTGTACTTTTGAGTTAAAATATATATTTATAATTTTAATAAATGACAAATTAAAAAGGCATGAAAATTTTTTTGTATCGAAAAAATATCGAACCGTGACACCAAAGTATCGAACCGAACCGTGAATTTTGTGTATCGTTGCACCCCTAATAAACACATACTATACTGCTACATGCATGTGCTACTATAGACATACAATATAAGGATCCATATAATATTGATACATTTCATTTTCTGTTAATTAACTAAACTAATTAACTATCAATGTATCGTTTGTTCACAATAAATGTTACCTGAACACGTTCTTCTCATTCAGATGGACTGACTCATGTTCCAGTGGTGATACAAACATATAGGTAAGGATCATTTTTTAACACCATCATAACACTTTTACTTCAGACTTCAGAGCAGTATTTCAAAATGTTTTAGAAAATAAACAAACTTATTGGTAAAATTTTACTAAAACACAAGAAACCATTAGAGTTCCAAATCGCCGCTTTTTTGTGTTGATTGTTTTAGTATAGTACTGTATTTTTTGGACTATAAGGCGCACTTAAAATTCTTTAATTTTCTCAAAAATTGACAGGGTGCCTCATTGTATTGATTCTGGTTGTGCTTACTGACCTCGAACCGATTTTGTGTGGTACACGGCACGGAAAAATTTGTCAAAATGTTTTAGTACGACTTTGGTAAGCTATGAAGCTGCACCGCTTGATGGATTGTCGGAGCATTACGGCTACGGTAGTTAGGAGCCTCGCAGAGTAATACGTACTGTGCTTCAACATAATATTGTGGTATCTGTATAAGGACCCCAAAATGGCACCTGTTAAGAGACATGCTTACGAAGCAGATTTTAGTCACGTTTTGTTATAATCTGGTGTGCCTTAAAGTCCGAAAAATACGGTATTTACCTTGGTATGTTTCATTTTTTCCTGTGAAATTAAGCTTAGCTTCAGAAGAACAGAGAAAACTTACAGGATGAGGTATGTTAAATGTTCCCTTTGAGAAATTAGTTCACAGATTCTTATATTCAAAAGTTTATTCCATTAGTTTGTGGTTTAGCTTATGTTCCAGAGTTGGTGCTTAGTGTCAAACTTGATATCAAAATGTGGAAAAGATTAACAGAATTTATCTATTTAAATTGGTGAATTACTGTTACTGTTTACACAGTTCGTAGTAAAAATATATAAATAAATATCATACTTCAGTTAACTTAACTGAAGAGTAAAACCAGTATACACTGATAAATGTTAATTAAAAGTAGTATGTGTATGTGATTTAATTTAATAACACCAGGGTGCTGACAGTCAGTGCTGGAGTAAGTTGTGCTTTGCTCAGGCTGCCTGACGCAGTGTCAGACAGCAGTGAGGACTAATTTAGCTCCTTTGTGCTTTGCTGGACTGTGGCCTGGCGTAAATGGGTAAGTACAGAGAAGTCCATTTAAAAACAAGCTTGTCCGAGCCTCTTCCTTCTCATCGCTGCACTCAGCAAAGTGCTGCAGCCGGATATCATCTTTCAGAATCTCTCCCTTACTTTCTTACTCTCCTCACTGTGTAGCTCGCTTACTTTGTTTGTTAGTGATCTCCCATTAATGGTCTTAACTCTTGTTTCAGTCCACGCTGCAGTAGAAGACAAACACATACACATGTAATGGTGACTGACAACTTGTGTCTGTCAATAGGCCAAATTAGTTGGATCTGGTCTCCCAAATAAGGAGCACAGACATGGAAATTAGTGGCTGACTCAAACCTCGCCGTGGGGACTCTTTGTAGGAGGAATTGATGAACTGCTGCTTGAAAATCTGGCAGGCTAAGAACAAAGATTGCAAATTAAATTTCTTAAGAACACTCGTCCCATCATGCAGTAGCCTTTCTGCTTACTGCTGGGTCAGTTTAAGATGGATGTGGAATATTTTGCCATGGCACAGGAAAGGTGGGAGTTTACAGCATCCTTAAAAATGGTGACAGTATAGAGATGGAGCTGTTAGAGATGTGCAGGTACGTGTATCTGTGTGTCAGCTTTTTTTTGTATGTGACCTTCACAGAGAGTGGTAGTGGTCTCAGGTGTGCATGGAAGTGCCAACTGCCTGAACTCATCAGAGGTCATTTAATGCAATGGAACCAAATCTCTAATTCTATTTTTGAGTAGCAACTGCTGAATCAGACAAATCAAAGAGCAGCTCCTTTGCTCTTTTTTTCTAAAGAATTCTTTTATCCTCATTCTTTTGCTCAATTCATTTGAGCATTTTCAAATGATGCCATGTTAAGTGCTTTTAAAAATAATAGGCTGTGGTGTATTAAGAATATAGAATAAAATGTCACATCTTTTACAGCCATCGTTGTTTTAAGCTTATAAAAAAGTCATATCAATGTGATTTTGTCCCACATGAATAGAACTGAAAAGGATTCCTTTTTAAATCAATATTTACTGCCATGACAGAAATGGAAATCAAGCAAGTGCATGTCATCAGCTCATCAGAGGGAGAGAAAAAAAGAGGTAATGGGGGAGGGAGAGAAGAGAGGAAACCATGGTTACAAGGCAAAGATGGTAGCAAGATGCAAACGAGGGTCCGGAATAACGGGAAGGACTGGAAGAACGGACATCGGGATTAGAGTGCAGACAAGAAGACAGATTACCTGTGGTTAGAGGAGCCGTTTTTGTCCTGGCGTGGTGTGTAGGCAGGATCTTCTCAGAGAAGAAGAACAGGCACCTCCCTTCACAGCAAAACCCAGAGATGAGCAGCGGCAGTCGCATTCATTCCAGGGTGAAAAAACAGAGCGAGAGGAGAATTCAGGGAGGTGAAGTGTAGTGTGAGCTTTGGTCTGTATCCCTACCCTCACCCGTTAGCCCACAGACACCCTTATCTGTCCTCCTACAGCCCGTTGTTTTCCAATCAATAGGCAGCCAACCCAGCTCATTCAGAGCCTGCGCACTGCCAGGTCCTGTGACGATATCAGCTCTCCTCACCCTCCCTCTCCCCACGCTTGCTTCCCTCACTAACCTCTCTTTCTCTCTTTGTCCCAGCCCCTTCCTGCTCTCCCTGCCTGCCAGCATTAATTCCCTAATATTCATGAAGTAGGAAGGAGGGGAGGAGATGATGCTTGTAGCGAGGTAGCCCACTGTGTACACAGAGTGTGAGCATCTTTTCTTTTGTTGTCTGCTTTGACATTCTGCCATAGACCTGAACACACAGAGAGGAAAATAGAGCTTAAAATTAATTTTCCTACATATGTGTGTCTGTAGATATATACATATATACGAAAAACATCTTAAAAACATGCTTTGTTTTGATGATGATGGGAATGCAAAGGAAAATGCAGAAATAGACACAAGGTAATGATTCATATACTGGAATATAAACCAGTGACACTCTTAGGTTTTCTCATGTTTTCTCACATATACAAGTCAGATTTATCTTCAGTCCCTTTTTGAGTTGTTCCAAAAGTAAGAGTCACGATGTAGAGATTTGGGGGGAACAATCTGCCTGTTAAAATATGAATCTATCTTTGAGTAGCTCAGGGTTTCATAAGGATTTCTGCATATGTTTAAATTATGGTACACATATCTTTTTGGGTTTGTAAGTCTGCCTGAACACAAGAAGGCAAGAATACTGAGATAAACTAGGAAGCTCAAAGAAACCTGGTTCACAACTTACCTATCTCCAAAAGGTTTACATAGCATTCCAAAGATTTGGAATACTATGTAAGACGCAAACAAAAACAATATTTTCAAATCTGTTAAACCCAGACCTGTTTACTTTAGAACACAGAAAACATGAAATGTTTGGACTGAGAGATTTTACTGTTTGTTACTGAAAAATATTAGCTCATTAGCAAGTGGTGCTAAAAAGAAATATCTTTGTAACTAGATGAGTTAATAACATGTAACATGACTGGGTATAATCTACAAAATGCATCTACAAAATGTTGAAAATTTTCAGAATAAGAAGTCAAATGTGAACAGGATCCAGAAACCATCTTCTCCCAGCCAAAGTTTATTTAAAAAAGAAACTTAAAATGACCTCATGTTTTTCCTTAAAGGATGCATTTTCTCATATTTGGCAGCAGTAATAAACAATGTGATGCCTTTTTCATCCAAGCCTGTGATTTAAATCCAGTTAATCCCTACTTTCGACTCTGTGGTCAAGGTTTAGACCTTTCAGAAAGGTCCATCTGGGCCAGTATGAACATGTGCACTCACGTAACAGTTCGTATGTTACTGTCACACTCTGATGCTCAAGTTTCCAAATGTCAAAACAAGATCTTCACTTCGGCCAGGAACATCCAGCTCTGAGCAGTACATGAGAGGACTAGACTTATTAAAGGTTTCACAGAAAATTAGCAACCAGAGAGAGTTCTGTGCATGCTCTGTGTGTTTTCCCACTTATTTGGGATTCAGTGATGCTGTGACATTATTTGGACATTTTTTCTGCAACCCAGCACTTCATGAATATTTTCATTTTGTATTTGGTGACGACCATACAAATGAAAAAAATGTTAATGAATAATATCCTAGAGCTGAAACTGGCAGCTTCAGCAGTCACAGGCAGAGAGGAGTGTTGCGCATGACGTCAATACATAGGAGGTGCTGCCCTGGCCTGCTCACAGGCGTGCAGTGTAAAATCAGCATGCGCACTGCAACAAGCCAACAAAAGCCTGCACACACCATCTTCATTAGCCTGCGTGAGCAGCTGCTTCTTCAAGCGAAAAAGAGAAAAAAAGGAAGAAAGGAGACATGTCCTGTCAGAGGCCTCGCAGTACTACAGCAACACAGCTCACACAGTCCAGACTGGTTGCCATGGTTATACTGTAACAGCACTGGAAGAGGAATAACTCCATAACAACATATATATATATATATATATATATGCTAAACAAGGGTGGAGAAATTTGTGTGCAAATAGTC